ACGAGTTGCTGTTCCTGCAACCTTCGGGTGGCATCGTTGTGGCACTGCAGGAGGCCCGGGATGGACATGTCATCTGAGGAATGGGAGGAGGAGTTGAAATGGTTCGCGACTGGGAGGTGCAGTTGTTTATTGTGAACCGAGCGTAGGTGTTCTGCAAAGCGGTCCCCAAGCCTATTATGGATGTGTTGTCCCAGTCGAATTCGTATCCTTCTTTGTCAGTGTGTATTGAGACCAGTGAGAATTGGTCGTGTCTCTTGGTGCCTAGTTGGTGTTCGTGCGTCCTTATTGTCAGTTTTCTTCCAGTTTGACCAAAGTAATGTTTCTCAGTCCTTGCACGGTATTTTGTAAATTATGTTAGTACATTATGTTAGATATTATGTATGGTAGCGCAACTAGTATTCAACCACCTATCAACAATACACACTAGCTGCGCTATCATACTCAGGGACATATCAGAGATGACCACTACTCAGACCTCTAGGTATCAGGGTAGCCCACCAACTAACAACCACCCTGTGACAGCTATTCACGAAGGTAAGGGATCCCATACCCACAACCAATAAAACTAACATAATTTACAAAATACCATGCAAGGACTGTGAGAAACATTACATAGGCCAAACTGGAAGAAAACAGACAATAAGGATGCACAAACGCCAACTAGGCACCAAGAGACACAACCAATTCTCACCGGTCTCAATACACACTGACAAAGGAGGACACAAATTCGACTGGGGCAACACATCCATAATAGCAAAAGCCAAACAGAGACATGCCAGGGAATTCCTGGAGGCCTGACATTCCAAGTGGAAGTCCGTCAACAAACACACTGAACTGGACCCAACATACAAACTGTTGAGAAACAGAACCGGAAGTAGTACCAACCACCCCAGCAAACCGAGGCATATAAATAACAAGCGGGGCAGAACGCCAACGCTTCACTGGAGGCGCACTGACTATGTTACCTAGCAGGGTGACGAAACACTTGCAATCAAACACACCGACCCAGCAAGCAAGTCTACAAACTCATCCACGACCCGAGCTACAAATCTTCTCAAAAACATCTCAAGCATCTCTGACAGGCCTAGAAAGAGGGCAAGTGCAAACAGTGAAAGGAGCATGCAAAATGAGAATATCCCACCCACCTGTCTCTTTAAATACTGCCTTTCCCAACTGGATCAGGCTGTGTAAATCAGCTGCAGATTGTTTAAGAACATAGAACATAAGAACTAGGAGCAGGAGTAGGCCGTCTGGCCCTTCGAGCCTGCTCCGCCATTCAATAAGATCATGGCTGATCCTTTCGTGGACTCAGATCCACTTACCCGCATTCTCACCATATCCCTTAATTCCTTTATTGTTCAAAAAAAATCTACCTTTTTTTTTAAGAAGTGTTTACTGAAGTAGCGTCAACTACTTCACTGGGCAAGGAATTCCATAGATTAACAACCCTCTGGGTGAAGAAATTCCTTCTCAGTTCAGTCCTAAATCTGCTCCCTCTAATCTTGAGGCTATGCCCTCTTGTCCTAGCTTCACCTACGAGTGGAAACATCCTCTCTACTTCTATCTTATCTATTCCCTTCATAATTTTATATGTTTCTATAAGATCCCCCCCTCAATCTTCTGAATTCCAATGAATATAATCCCAATCTACTCAGTCTCTCCTCATAAGCCAACCCCCTCAACTCTGGAATCAACCTAGTGAACGTCCTTTGCACCCCCTCCAGTGCCACTACATCCTTTCTCAAGTAAGGAGACCAAAACTGCACACAGTACTCCAGGTGTGGCCTCACCAGCACCTTGTACAGCTGCAACATAACCTCTCTGCTTTTTATTTCAATCCCTTTAGCAATGAAGGACAAAATTCCATTTGCCTTCCTAATTACTTGTTGTACCTGCAGACCTACCTTCTGTGATTCATGCACAAGGACACCCAGGTCCCTCTGCACAGCAGCATGCTGCAACTTTTTACCATTCAAGTAATAATCCTTTTTACTATTACTCTTACCAAAATGTATGACTTCACATTTATTTACATTGTCTTCCATCTGCCAGACCTTTGCCCACTCACTCAATGTATCTATGTTCCTCTGCAAAGTTTCACAGTCCTCTGCACACTTTGCTTTGCCACTCATCTTAGTGTCATCTGCAAACTTTGACACCCTACACGTGGTCCCCAGCTCGAAATCATCTATATAAATTGTAAATAATTGCGGTCCCAACACTAATCCCTGAGGCAGACCACTAGTCACTGACTGCCAGCTAGAATAGCACTCATTTATCCCCACTCTTTGCTTCCTGTTAGTCAACCAATCCTCTATCCATGCTAATACTTTACCCTTAATGCCATGCATCCTTATCTTATGCAGTAGCCTCTTGTGCGGCACCTTGTCAAAGGCCTTTTAGAAGTCTAGGTACACCACATCCACTGGGTCCCCATTGTCCACCTCGCTCGTAATGTCTTCATAGAATTCCAGAAGATTTGTCAAGCATGACCTGCCCTTCATGAACCCATGCTGCGTCTGCCCAACGGGACAATTTCTATCAAGATGCCTTGCTATTTCTTCCTTGATAACAGACTCAAGCATCTTCCCCACTACAGAGGTTAAGCTAACTGGTCTATAATTCCCCATCTTTTGTCTACTTCCCTTTTTAAACAGTGGCGTCACATTTGCTGTTTTCCAATCTGCTGGGACTGCCCCAGAGTCCAGCAAATTTTGGAAAATTACTGCCAGTGCACCAGCTATTTCTCTCGCCATCTCATTTAGTACCCTGGGATGCATTCCATCAGGGCCAGGAGACTTATCAATCCTTAGCTCCATTAGCTTGCCCAACACTACCTCTTCCGTAATTATGATTGTTTCCAGGTCCTCACCTACCTTCGTCTCTTTGTCTATTACTGGCATGTTATTAGCGTCTTCCACTGTGAAGACTGATACAAAATACCTGTTCAATGCCTCGGCCATTTCATCATATCCCATAACTAAATTCCCCTTCTCATGCTCTAAAGGGCCAATGTTTACTTTAGCCACTCTTTTTCGTTTTATATATTTATAGAAACTTTTCCTATCTGTCTTTATATTCTGTGCTAGTTTTTTCTCATGTTCTATCTTACTTTTCCTTATAGCTCTTTTTGTGGCTTTCTGTTGACCTTTAAAGTTTTCCCAATCTTCTAGTTTCATGATGTTTTTGGCCACTTTGTATGCCTTCTCTTTCAATTTGATAGCCTCCCTTATTTCTTTAGACACCCATGGCAGATCACCCCTTTTCTTACAGTCCTTCCTTTTCATTGGAATATACTTTTGCTGAGCACTTTGAAAGATTGCTTTGAAAGTCCTCCACTGCTCGTCAAATGTCCCACCATAAAATCTTTGTTTCCAGTTTACTTTAGCCAAGTCCTCCCTCATTCTATTGTAGTTCCCCTTGTTCAAGCACAGGACCCTTGTATTGGATTTTATCTTCACACTCAGAATCTGTAATTCTGTACAGAAAGAAAGCCATCCTTGCTCTGAAGGGATTGCCCAAGAAGATAGGCCATACATTGTATTTCACGCCAAGAAATATTTTTGAATCTATCCCAGACTTTAAAAAAATGAAAATCTTCCTGCCAGCTTGCTGGAGTGGGGTCTACATAAACTTAAAAAGGCCTATCTCAACTGTACTTGGTTAAGACTATAGTAGAATAACACATGAGCTGAAATTGACAGTAAGATGGAAAAAACAATTTACATTTAATGTATGCAGGCATTAAAGATCTGAGTGCTGCATCGGAAATGCATGCCTGCTCTATAACGAATGTAACTGACCAAGCTCCCAAAAACATGTCCATCTGTCCGTACTAATGCAATCGACACAAAAGTCTTCTATATTATTGCGGTACTGTTAATCCAGAGACCCAGATAACATTCTGGGGACCCAGCTTCGAATCCTGCCACGGCAGATGATGGAATTTGAATTCAATAAAATATCTGGAATTAAGAAACTTACAATAACCGTGTGTCGATTGTCAGAAAAACTCATCTGGTTCACTCATGCCCTTTAGGGAAGGAAACTGCCATCCTTACCTGGTCTGGCCTACATCTGACTCCAGAACCACAGAAATATGGTTGACTTTTAACTGCCCTCTGAGCAATTAGGGATGGGCAATAAATGGTGCCTAGCCAGCGAAGCCCCTCATCCCATGAATGAATTAATTAAATAAATCAAATAAGGCGTAACTTTGTACAGAAAAAGTTAGTTTTTTTACTTGACAATTATAAATTCATCTTTTCTTTTAAATGAGTACACATATTCTGGCGTATTCGCCACAAGTCACTTGTGCAACAACCTAGCATCAGAAATGTCATTATAGTTTCAGTATCTTGTGTTTTTGTTTAAGATTTGCAGCATCTTGCTTTTGGTCACGAAGGACTCGATACTGTGGCTGTCCTGAGTTACGATTAACGTTGGTTAGAGCAGGGCTAACACAGTTACCTCAGGAGTTACAAGCAGAAACCAATCGTCAGTGCACTGGCAACAGCAAAAACCCATAATTTATAACCATTTTTGCTCAAGGGCTTTTTTTTTCTAAGCAGAGAAACTACGACATTTGGTTGATGAAGTCTTTAACTCATTAAGGTGTTGGGGGAAACTGAAATGTTGAGTGTTCTGATTTGGGTCGAGCTGCTGCAGGGTCAGGACATGTCTCTAGGCTGAAACACAAGAAGGTTGGGCTCTGTCCCTGACTTGGGCTGAGATGCTGCACCGCTATTTCTTTACGGCTGTAGTCACATTCATCGAAGCGCATCCCGCCCTAACTGGGAAGTGTCGAACTCCTACACTCCAGCAGCCAAACACATACTTCATTCCGCACGCAGCACACAGTATGGGTCTGACTTTGGATAATACGTCCGATTTAACTCACCCAAAGTCAAAATTACTCCCCCAGCTCGCCCAACTTTTGCCCCTCCCCACTCCCACTCCCACCTCACTGAGCGTCAGCAGTCGACGTCCCGTGCACTCACCACGCTTACGTCGTGCACTTGGCAACGGCCGTTGACTACGGGTTCGGCCGTTTCGTTTCGGACCGTTTGAAAACACATTCAAATCTGGCCTCGCGCCGCATCCACCAAAACCAAAACTCGGAGAGTCCCGGCACCCGCGGCTCACTTCCGCCGTTACTCCTGCGCTGACGTACGGCCGCAGCTTCGTGCGCGTGCGTATTCAGTAAAAAGTACAAGAGCCGTTTGGTGACTAACTGAAGAGTTATGTAGAAAAATCGGAATGGTCAATGATTCCTTACTTGTCTAATCTTAAACGCAATATCTCTCACTCAGAATATATGTGGCTGTAGGTTTTTAACAGGACTGTGATCATCACGTTTGTCCTAAATCAATAGATGTCAACACTTTCGAAGTACTATTAAATACATAGGATTAAGTAAAAATACGGAACAAAGCAGGTGATTTGGACTATCAACTTAATGCCCACGTTAATTCTCTATTTAAGCCTCATTGTAAGTGCTGTTCATTGCAGATAAGTTGGAACCTGGCTGTTTGTACCAAAGGAAATTTGTGGGCAATAACTATCCGTTTGTTTTATGGAATGGTGACCAATTGTTGATGACAAAAGCATGCTGCCAACCGACAACTATGTGATTGGCTCCGAGATAGCTGAATAGCTTGTGGGTGTGAACAAGATGGTCAGAAGCGTTTGGACCTCTGAAAAGGGAAGGAGTATCTTTGTCTCTGGTTAATAAAAACGAAAGTCTGAAGGAAGCCAGTTTATTTTCCCCTTGCCACTTGATGTAAGCTGATGTTTTTAACTCGAGGATCAAAGACTTTATAAGTTGTGAACCAATCATTCTGTGCCTCCTGCAGGCAGAGTAACTGGAGGAATGGCCAAAAGGATTGTCTCAGCAAGCGTTGTGAACAGGAACCATTAACCTGCATTCCTAGTTTTTCTCACTATCTGTAACACCGATGTTTTTGAGTTTGGCTGTGTGTATGCAGAAGACGTTTTACAAGGAACTAGTAATACTATATGTTTACAGTTCATGAGATACCAAGATGTAGTGCTGAATGAACACAGCAGGCCAAGCGGCATCAGAGGAGCAGGAAGGCTGACGTTTCGGGCCTAGACA